GTTGCCCACGCTTCCGCTCTGTTATATGCATAGGTTGATCGCTAGCTTCCGGCGCGAGATGAATGACGCGAGACCGTGTCGTAGGATGGGGCAAAGACGATTGTCGTGGACCTTGTTACCCAATCAGAAGAAAGATGTACGCGTCTACGGTGGAATCAGATTGCATCGACGTCCTTTCAGCACTCGACAGTAGCATCCACCAGAGCACCCACCGTGCGGCTAAGGGTTAATAGTACGATATTGGGTTGGCCTCATGGCAGCCTCCATCAACTACGTGAAGCTCACTTCAAGTGGGCGCGAGGTCGTCTGAAGCTGCTCGGTGCAAGGTCACCAAGTACATTTGGTGCCCGACCAGAGCGATACTTCAACTACCGCATGACAGCTGACTCGACGATTCTGGTCATGCGCATCCAGTTGGGATGCTCGACATCGGCCTCGGTCAATCAACGCGCCGTATCCTTCCAGAAAGGCCAACCCGCGTCTTTCCAGGTGGAGGTGTCGACTTCATTTTGCATTTATCAATGTCCAAGGAGCTCGCCAACGTGGCCATCGAGCGGCTCGCCGCCGAGCGGGCGACCGCGACGTTCACGACCGAGGCGTGCGTCGACCTCGTTCTTGGCACCAAGGCGTGGCAGGCGCGCATGGCGTACCTTCGGTCGCTCATCGAAGCACACCCGGTGCTCTCGGACCGCGACATGATGTACCGCAACCACCAGGAGCGGTATAGCTTTGTGCTGCGAAAGATCCGCGCGCTCGTGTCCTTTCTCCAAGAGCACCAAGTGACCGATGCGAAAGAGCGCGACTATGTCTGCGACCTTCTCGGTGAGCCGCTCCCGATTGACGTCCACCGCGGGATGTTTGTTCCAATGCTCGAGACGCAGATGGACGACGAGCAGCGCGACTACTGGCTCCCGCTCGCGCGCGAGGCCAAGATCCTTGGCTGCTACGCACAGACGGAGCTCGGCCACGGCTCCAACGTCCAAGCTGTCGAAACAACCGCGATCTACGATGCGACGACCGAAGAGTTTGTCCTGCACTCGCCGACGCTCACGAGCCGCAAGTGGTGGCCCGGTGGCCTTGGCAAGACGGCCAACCACGCGATCGTGATTGCCCGATTGACGCTCAACGGCAAGGACCGCGGCGTGCAGGCCTTCTTGGTGCCGCTGCGGGATTTGACGACGCACGCCACGCTGCCAGGCCTCGAGATTGGCGACATTGGACCCAAGATCGGATTCCAGTCGGTCGACAATGGGTAACGTTATTGTCCTATCGCACGTGGTTGTTCTTATAGTTGT